AAAAAAAAAAAAAAAAAAAAGAATAATTCCATATGTATCAGGGAAAGAGCAACAGAGGGAAGAAAAAGTGAGATATGTTTTAAAACAGCAGTGCTCATAACTGATACAAGAGTGCAGATGGAAAACCACATCCCACTAGGGCAAAAGGAAGAATGTGCTAACAAGAAGACCAGCTTCAGAAACATCTTGGTTTAGTCATGGATGTCAAATCTGAAACATCTCCAGACACAAAGGTGATGTGACCTGCCATTTGGTTGAATGGGTATGATACAGTTATGAAGTGTGGCTCTGGATCTTACTTCAATCACTTTTTTCTGTATTTCTCTTTTAAGTGAACAGCAAGTAAACTGCTGTATATTGGGTAGAGTTCCTAGCAAGGCTATGACAGCCTCACTATTAACACAACAGCAATGGAAAATACCCAACATCAGAAATAGTGGGATTATTTTCTCTTGATGGTGAAAAAGGTTTTTACTGTCAGCACCGGTGAGTGGGGAAGAGAGGACAAATTTTCATTCCTTAATAAGACCATAAGGCCAGTGAGTGCTTGGACCAGATATCAAATTATCAGGAGCAAGTTCTAATGACACAGCATGTTTCTTTGTCCACTCCAAGCCTATAGTGAATTATAACTGGAAAAGGCAGTACTGGGAATGTGATGGGAGAGATTAGCAAGTACATCTCCATTACAAAAGAATGAGATTTGTTTCACCACAACAGTAGAAGAAGCCAAATTGCCTTGTTTAAGAAACAAAATAATGCCAAAGAGATGGACAGAAATCCTATAGCATTATTGTGATAAGCTTTAGAAAGAAACATGCTGCTTCCTGATCTTATATGGGCCAGTGTAATTATGTTGAAGTTTATGCTGTCAGAGCAATGAAAACCTGGAATAACAGAGTTATGAAGCAGGATCGTTACTTTGCTTTTGCATTACATTATTTGAGGCACGGTGCCCAAGAGGAAAAAAGCTGCAGCTCTATGTCTTAGAAGTCAGCCAGAAGGTGTTTCCAAACTGCTTTATTTGTCCTGTGATAGGAAACTCTGCTAAGAAAATCAGGATTGTTAGTGCAGTGAGTTTGCTGGATCTCCAGCTGGAGCTGGAGCTAGGGAAGGAGGTGCCAGGTCCTTCAGTCCCAGAGCTCTGGGCAATGTCTTAGCTGATGACTGCCCACTCCACCCAAAAAAAAAACCCAAACTAACAAAAGCAACAAACCTACTCCTGCACAACCAGGGCCATTACATAGGCTCCAGAGGAAAAAAAATTCAAGAAACCACCTTCAATTTTAACTAAATCCGAAGCGTTATGGAAAATCCTATTAACATACATGCCACAGCACATTACCAGCTCTTCAGGTTGACTCTTGGGAAATGACTGATGAAAAAGGTTAGGCATCACATTAAGATGTTGCCAGACTATTCAAGCTAATGTAAACCACCTAGAAAACGTTTTCAATTTTCCTCATTAGGCTTTGTTTTGTATCAGGCAGAAAGAACAGTCTGGGGAACAGTTGGTGTGCTTAGACAGCTGAAACTGATACTTACAGTCACTGGTGAGGCTCCAGGGAAGTATTTCTCAGCACTGTCTCCTCTCCCTTGAAAAGAAAAAATGCATTTTCTAAATGAAAAATAGGGCCCAGTTGCTGTGAGCAGCATGGAGAGGTGGCCTGCTGAGCAAAGAGTTATGTGAGGAAGGGACAACTTCTTTTTGCACTTAGGAGGAAGAGAAAAGGATGCCCTACAGAACAAAAGATGAGTTGGAATTTATCTTACTTCCTTGCTTACCTTGCTCCTTAATGTGAATTTGGCCTTCCATCTTTCCTTCCACATGGCTGGCTTCTCCCCTGCCCTTCAGGGTCTCCCCAGCACCCTGAACTACCTGTGCTCATGGAAATAAGAAGTGCATCAGCAAATCCTGGAGACTGAGCCTCAGGTGCCAAAAGCATCCTTCCCCTCTCATGCTCTTTGGTCTCCAGCAAGATGTGGCAATGGGAATGGGAAGATGCAACAGTTCCCATCATCCCTGTGCCACCGACCAGAAAGCTTCTTCCCTCCACAGGGCCAGGGCCAGCCCAGCCTAAAGCCCTGGTGCCAGCAGCTAAGATGTCAGATCACTGTGAATTACCTGCACTGTGCTAAAGGTGCAATAGTGCCAGAGAGCCTTAGCTCTTCATGGCCCCACCGTCCTGCAGCCAGGTCACCCAGAGTGAGCTTCAGACCTCAGCTGTAAATATTTCAATTTAAGTCTTGGAAGGTTGGTGTCCATATGTGAGCAAGGTATCGGGGCGCTTCTTTCAGGCAATGGGGATCCAAGCAGCACCATCCAGGAACCCAGGGAGCTCCCCACTCTCCCCTACAGCAGACATCCCATGCTCAGACAGGAGAACAACAATCTTCTTTTTCCCTTCTGAATGTGGAGGTAGGAGAATATGTACATGAACTATGAGTGGAAGGGGTATTAGTGACCAAAACCTGCCACTTCTCATCCCAAAGTAAGACAATGACAATCAGATGTAAAGCAGCATATTGTTAATGAACTACATTGATAATGAGGCATCATCCTAGTAGCTCTCTTCACTTCTTAATGTTATTATGATATTTCATGTTCAATGTATCATTGTGTGCATTAACTTTCAATAGGATCATTAGACTATATTTTTGATATTCTGCATAGAAAAGTAGCAATAGCATTGTCAAAAGAAGAGAAGACACAGCATGCACAAAAAAAAATCCAACTTGGAAATGAAGGGACAAATGTTCAAATTGAGCCTCTTTTTTCTGTAACACATTATTTTTTCAACCAACTGGATAGAAACCTTGAATTTTGAAAACAAGCGAGAAATGTGAATCCACATCAGGTACTCCAGTACTTCTAATTAGCAAATCTATAAGGTAAAAGCCATTCATGCATGCAATAATATACTTTCAGCATCTTGATTTAGCAGCCATGTTGAGGCACTTAGAGAAATTTCCTCCTAATGCTTTACATTTATGCCAGAAGAAGAAGGGAAAAAACTCTTAGAAGACCTATGGTACACAGGACCCTCTTTTTAAAATTTCACTATTAGGAATGGAACAACATAAAATCTTGGAATAAACAGATGCAGTTTAGCCACAAGAATGGAACACATGGAGGAAGAACCCATTGAATAATTTTCTAGACAAGGAAGAAAAACAGATACAGATCTCTCATCATGAAAACAATAAATTTACAAAGAATCCTCATATAGAGTAATAAATATCAAGACTTTCCACATATCCATTATGTATCCTATAAAAATGAAAGCTGATTTTTTTCTAGCCACTACTGTAGTTAGAGAGAAAACCAATTTAAACTGTATGCACTCATCATCAATGTATTTTAGCAGACAATATAATAAACCTGCCTACCTTCACAGACAATGTATCTCCAGGCTTTTACATCAAATCTGGAAAATGTCACACTAATATTTAAGCTTTTCCTTCTCTCTCTTTCCTCTTCCCTGGAGTTTGCTTGACCCCTTTTGTGACTGTGAAGGCAGATTTCATTGCCCCCAGCGAGATAATCTCTGTGATGTGTGCTCAGCTGCCATGTGGACCTCATTTCTCAAAGCTTGCCTTTGCCACACACACTTAGAAGGATGATTCCTACCTGGCCGGCCTCGGTACTCTCAGCACCTGCAGGGAAATAAGCCAGCCCTTCCACTACCTCACCTATAATCAATCTCTCACTGCTGGCCTTTGGAACAGAGCTAGAAGTGCCCCAGTTCAACACGTCCTATGTATTTTTCAATCACCAAATCAAATTCTTCCCTTAATCAAAACACAGCATGTAGATGTTTGAAGGGCAATGTGTGCACCTTCTTAATTTCATTCACTAGAAAGTTATGCACAACAGTACAAAATGAACCAGCTCTCATGTCACAAAAAAACCAAGCAGGTATTTTTCCCCAATTTATCATTCATGCCTGCACAAGTTTTAGTAGCTCACATTGTACAGGGTACATCTGTTAATGCAAAGAATCTCTCTGTCTCTTCAACCCATCCTCATAGCTTAGGCCTTTGAAGGAAGTCTTTTCTGGCAGGAATCTTATTCTACTGCCATTTAATAACACTAATCAATACCTATTGAGAAAAAAATACATTCTCACTGGCAGAAACCAAGAAAAACTGAGACGAGGGGGAGTTGTCAGACGAGGTCTCATTTAGCAAAGCAGTAGGTCTCCCTTGGCTAATTCCCAGGTAGCCACATTGCACAAACAATCTGATCCTCTCATCGGTTAGGCAAGATGGAGGAGCATCACCACCTTGCAACCTGACTGTTATAATCTTCAGTAACAGCTACTTCTGCTGCCTCTTCCCTTGGCCACTGGTGAGCTCTCTGCTCCCGCAGCAGTCGCCGCTCCTCTCGCCTCTTTAGCCGGTTCTTCTGGTGCTCCTCTTGCTTGGAGTACTGGAAGCGCTGCAGGAACAGGTCTTTTGCATATTCATACAGCTGCATGTCCAAGAAATTCAGCTCCTCTATCCGTTGCCGCACATCCTCGCCGATGTCCACATTTGAGGCCCGCGTAACGTTGAATTGGGTGAACGGGGAAATGAATTTTAGGTTGAATGTCCTCTCAAAGAGATACTGTGTTTTCCTCTGAAATTCCGTCAGCCCAAAGAAGGCCATGTTTTTCAGATTGTTCTTGGCGCTTTGGAGAAGAATCATATTTCTCTCACTCTCATTCATGAAAGTCAGGTTGTAGCAGCCCACCAGGCTGAGGTCTGCCAGCATGCGCACCTGGCGGTTGCTGGCCAAGTTGTAGCTACAATCCATGAATTCCTGTAAGCTGACTCCAGACCAGTCGTCTCCTTCATAACAAGTAGGCAGCTCGTCTGGTGTTGGGCTTCTTCCATCGCACATATGAAGGGAAGTTTTCCACGTCGCACCCCTCTGGACATGTTTCCATTCACTCAAGTATCGTGACACTGGATCCCTCAGCATAGTGATGTAATAGAAATTCCTGAAACATATAATTAAACACAGTTTTAAGATTTCAGTAGATTTGCCTATTTATTCTCCAATAAAACTATTATACTGGCACCACACCCTTCACTTTTTCCAGTGCGATGTAGGCACTTCAGGTGACTCTTTCTGAGACTCTTTCTAAAATCTTCATAAATACTGTGAATAAAATACAAGGTAAATTGGGAGAGAGAGAGAGATGAAATAAAGTAAGCAGTTATCAAAAAAACAGAATTACTTTGCCCTATCAAGTGTTCAGTGATAGTTACTTTACATAGAAACCAATTAACTGAAGTGTGCTCCCCTCCACATTGAAGTATTAACCGCCAGCAATATCAGAAACTGTGTGAAAAGTGATCGAAATAATCCCACAACTTCTCTTCTGGATTGAGACACACATGTCTCAAGATGCACAGGATGATAATCTCTAAAGCACTTGAGCAAAACCTAAGAAAAGATGAAGCAATTTAATGCGGATGGTGCAAGTGCTAAAAATAACACCATGTGGAAGAATGGCATGAGACACCTACTTAAGAAAAACCCTATTATTAAGTGGGTTGGAATGAAGATAATAAGAGACCAAAAATCCATTAATATGACTTAATTTTAGACAAGTGCTTGATTGAAATTAGTTGTATAGTACAAAAGCATTTGTTGGTGTAAGGATTATTATTATTCCATCTACCTGTCAAGAATACAAAAGAGACACCAAGATACATGATCTGAAATAGAGAAAATAACTATGGAGTTCAAATTGTCAGTTCATCTTTTTGCTATTAAATTCAGTTTGTATGTCCTATTTATGGCAATCTGAAAGGGACTGCAATTAAATATGTATTAAGGAAACTATCATATATTGAGGATTTTTTACTGAGGGATGTTTTATTCAATAATAACTCACCTGAGTTATAAGGTGATAACATAAACACAAAGCAAAACTGAAATACTTATGATTTCTCTCAGCTAGAATAACCAAAAGAAGATTCATGACTAAAATTAACACATGATCTGGTACAAAAATAGGCTTGTGAGTTTGCATGACTCATCTTACTGCAAACTACACATTAATAAATCATGAGCCCTAAGATTTCTTAAGAAATTTCTGATCTCAGTACTTTTTCTTCAGCCTGGAGAAGGATGAAGAGACTAAGCTAGAAGCAGAGAAAGATGAAGGAAGAAAGCAGGAAGCAAGCATGCTGAAGACAAGCTACCCTGTAAACAAACCAACATTTTGGAAGTATCATCTCATACAAGAAAAAACTCCAGTAAAATGAAAAATCTCAACATTTTTAACAACCTCCAAGGCAATTAGTTTGCTTTTTCAGGTATCACCCACTTCCTGCCACTAAAGATTCACCATCTCCATGAACCTTAGGTTAATCATAAAAATATTTATTTCCCCACATACTGCTAAATATGCAGATATATTTCCCTGTGCAGGTAAAGCAAAGGGAAACGGGTCTGAATACTTCATTCTTATTAATTCTGAAATTTCCACCCACAGAACCTATATTTTCCAGAATAAGGTTATGAGACTGAACTATGGACTATGTTCTGCTGCAGGGTAATTTCCTGAGCTACAATCTAATGCAAACACCTGTTTGAATACTTATTTCACAGCAGAAGTTTTACATGTGGAAGGATTTAAAATAGGGAGTGTCATGGATGTATTTTCACTATCACTTGCACTGGAAGCCAAGATTTCTGTCAGCATTTGATGACACTTTGAAGAATGATATTTCCAGAATCATTTGGAGTCTGGAGTTTCTGACCACTGCCCACACATGCACAAACTGCCAAACTGCATGTCACCTGTTTTGGTCCCCTTCAGTTACTTACACCACCCCCATCAACAGGGAACCCAAGAATCACACAAACCTTCATAGACAGGTATTTCTAAAATCCCTCTTCTCCTGCAGAGCAGGAAGTACCAGAAATCCTCATTTCTGCTCTGCAGGATTGTTCCACTATGAAAAACCAGTCTTTGGCCACTTCAGACACAGCTTTCTCTCCTCAGATTGGATGCTTATCTCATCTAGGCTCTACACTGCATGTATGAGAGCACATTAAGAACTACTTTCCATTTTACAGGGAAAAAAGGCGACACATTTCACAGTGCGCAGATAAAACAGCCCAACTCTCAAACACCCATCAGCTCTGAGCATAACAAGCTGTTGTTGCAACATCCAGCAGGCACTGATAGGATTATGACCAAAGAGATGAAAAAATGGACAAAGACTCGGAGGCAGTTGCAAATATCTACGTCAACAAAGATGGGGCATTGGCTTAGTCCTTGTATTGCTGCTCTTCCTCTCTTCAGGTAATTTTGGATGTTAACAAGTGGTAACAGACAGATTTAAAAGTTGCTCTTGACAGTTATTTATACCTCTAATAATAGTTCTGTCTTTCCTCACCCATCTCCAGCAGCCCCAGTCAGGTATGACTCAGAGCAACAACAATTAACAAAAATACCTCCTTTGCATCAATCATTTCCCTTTCATCCCTGGATATGTAAATGTGTTTGATGTGCAATAAACAGGAGTACAAAGCAAATGCATGGAAATGAGAACAGTACAACTTTGGTCAACATCCGCAGCTTCCCTTCTGCATGCCGGGCCAGAAACCTTCGTCAGCCTGCTGCTGCTGCTCCTTGTGACTACCTAACTTCTGCAGCTGTGTTCACTGCCCAGATAAATCTGCTGCTGGTTTCTGCAGCTTCCAGGGAGTTGCCTTCTTGTGTTATCCACTGAATGGCTTTTTCATGTGGCAGACAACCTTTAACAGCAGCTTGACATACATTTTGTTTCTGAGGGGCTGAAAACTTACACTGCATTCACAGTTTAAACATTCTGATTAACCTTCTGGCTGTGACCCTCTGTCACCCTTTTAATCAATCTGTGGTTGGAAGACCTTAAGATTTTTTCCACCTAATCCTGGACACTGTCCAGATGACACTGTTACATGCTACCCCTTGATGGGGGGATGCTACACTAAAGTTGTGCACAAAAGTTTCCTTTCAGGGAAAAGCGTGTCACGTCTCCAGAATAATGATATAAATAAAAACACTAATGCCATGGACATTTGTTTCAGTTGGAAAATTCTATAAATTTTAAAATTATTTTAGAAAATTGTTTTCAAATTGTTTTCAAATGTTGAAAACAATTTGAAAACATTTATGGAATAATTATAGAAGAATTTTGGAGGCCTCAGTGCCTCATATACAATTCAATCACACTGGGAGTAGCTGGGGAGTCAGCTCATAATAAAGACAAGAAGCAAGTTAAAAATACAAAACAGGATATGGCCTTTCTTCACTGCGCAGTAAAATAGCATAAAGTTAGCTAAACACTGAATATGCTTGAGCCACTCTGAATACAGATGTGCACTTGTTCTTATTGGTGTAAATTACCCTCTTGCATCACCCATGCTCACACAGACTTACAGCTATGTTAAATTCAATGGCTACCCACTGTGCTAAATACTGAGCAAAGAATTAAGTAATGACTTCTGTTATCCTGTTTGTCAAAGCAAATTCATCACAGACTTCTTGGCTTTATTTTTATAGACTCCCATCATCGATTGCTGAAACTACTGCCACAGGTACCCTCAGTGCTTAAAGGCTAGCCAAAAAAAATATGCTGGTATGTCAGGGAGAAGATATTTTTCAGAAAATATTCCAAATTATTTAAAACCCATACAAGTTATAGCTATGTAATATATTTATGTAATCAATATTTATGTCAATGACAGAAAAATGTCAGTAAATGCATAGGTGTGAGTTTGCCAATGTATCTTGTGACTGTCTCTACAAACACAGACATGTAAGAACATTTCAAACATTAGCCCACTAGCTGCAGTATTAGCTCCTCCTGAAAGGAAACTTCATGCAGCTTCCCCAAATTAAGCAATCTCCTTTTGAGCATGATGTACTGAAACTAATGGATTATTGAAGTTGTCACTATGGGATAGATGATTTTTGGACAAGTGATGATCACGGCAAGGGCCTGATGATTCATGCAAGGGCTCAAACAAACACCAGTGTGAAGTGTGGGCTGCACACTGTTATTTACACTAGAATTATGAAGTACTTGGTAATTCCTAAGGCTCTAGTCCTACTTGCATGAAATCCAATCTCTTCATTAGCATTAGGCAAAGAAAACCTTTAATTAAAAGAACAGATAAAATGAGCTTCTAGTTATAACATAAGAACATGTATTCCTTCCACATTATAAGATATTTTAATATAAATACTCTAATCTTACATTAATCCTTCAATAGTATTGCACTGGTTTAGAAATTAATTTCAGAGGAGCAGAGTCTGCTATAAGCAGAAGTGATCCCAAACCAGGGCATTTTGCCTCTTCTATCACCATGGAACAGATGTCCCAGCTGAGGGAGATTTACTAAATACGTGAAGGATCACTGCACACTGAGAACAGAAACATCCTATAGGGCCTCCTGGGCAAGAAGGATGAATGGCGTCTTCATAAAAGGAGAACAGCATGCTCATGACAGCGGATGCAGAGACAGAAGAATATTTGAGGTGGAGGAAAAGAGTAACCAGAGAATATTTTGGAAAACACTAGCAGACGGAAGAAAGAAAAGCCCAAGTGACTGAAAAAATCCAGGCGTAGCATAAAACTATCCACCTTTTGCTTCTTCCTGGTAGAAAGGAAAATAAAAGCCCTGGTCAAGTTTATGTCCCAAGTGGAGATAAGTTAGTAGCTTTAATTGTGGAAGTGAGTGTGCTCCTGAGGAAAGGTGTGAAATACCCACCAAAAGCCATCCTGTCAGCACACTTCTGCACACTTCCACAATGGAGCCTGTGGCAAGACGAAGGTTAAGTAGGATCAACATTATGTGAACAAAAGCTTTAGTTTTTGTTCCAGGTTTTATCCTGAACCCCAAATTCTCACAGTCAGTAAGAGTTAGCCCACAATCACTAACCTCTCTTTGGGCAAAGTATCGTCAATATGGGTAATAGTGAAAGGAAGAGGG